ATACATTTACAGTCAATGTCCTTAAGCGATATCAAAGTGTGTTCATGGCTAACTACGGAGCATATAAATATTCCTATATCACTGGACGGGAACGGATCTTCGAAGTAATTGCGTGGGTCATTGAAAGGCCGAAATTTCAGTAGTCCGTCCTCCCGTATATCAGTAATTAAACCAGGTTGTCCCTGAACTACTACCACGTTATCAGGCTTGAATGAAGTTATTTTAGTATTATTAAAAATAATTTCTTGTCGCTTGGAGACCTTAGCGGTGATAGGACTACTGTGACTTGATTAAGTAACTTGAAGCCTATCGCAGAATGACATTTTCTCAGCATAACGCTGAGCTGCTTGCTTAGCAACTGCATACCCGCTGTGCACAGAACTTTTTATTTGTCTCATGTAAGATTCGAATGGAAAGGCTGAAAAGCAATCTAAAGGTCCATGTGCACGAACGTCGTCAGGAAGGTGCTGTAACAAAACTAAGTTTTCAGACCCATAACACCATTCGTATTCCTTAAGAAAATTTTTAAAGTCTGTTTTGACATAATCTACAACGGTTTTATGTAATTTAAGATGTGCAAGCAGATAAATGGATAACGCCATACGCTGGAAATTAAGAAACAGAGGTTGCGGCAGTGCTTTTTGAAGAATCACTGGTCCTAAATACAGAAGGAACAATCTACATTCCGAATCTTTCCAAACGGAAACGAAGTCTAATGTGCGGCATTTGCGCTGAAAGTCGCACGGAGTACTAGCCACGCAACCAGATATTAAATTGTTTATGTCCCTAATTGCACATGAGTTCATGTTAAGCAGTCTTCTGTGTGCAAATTCTATCCAGAGATTGGCTAGCTTTTTGGTGACACCTAGGTAAACCATGTGCATAGGATCTAAAGGAAAAGTGGAGATCATATTAATGAAAAGCGTTTCCATAAATGAATGGCCTTGATGGTGAATAGATTGAGTCTGACGACGAAAGCTGTCATCCGTTCTTAAAGTATATTCACCATTTGGAAATGTCATTCTGCCCTCAAGACGTCTACCCAGTACAGTACACCGAACGCAACCTGCCTTGGCATTGTGATTAACTGTGTACCTAATTGCAGAACGAGCAGGTGCGTCACATATTACACGGGACAACTGAATAGTTATGTATTTATTAAACTTAGTACTAAACAGACCCATGTCAGTCATTTCTTTTATTTCAGAAATGGTGTCAGCAGATAATTCGTTGAATTCTGCCGGTTTACTATTCCCTCCGTAGATTCCTATCATGAACACATCACTACACCTAGGGGCTATGATCTGTCCTAATATCGGCCATAATTGTTGATTTGAGCTTCTAGACATAGATAGTCCATCAAGATTAATATGAAAATGTAAAGTATCAAAATCAAAATTACACAACCAAAGTTCAACATATCTTAGCAGATTGGTTTTCAATCCGATGTGATAGTAAACCCCACTGCTAATGAACTGTGGCTTGACACTGGTACACATCCGTAGAATGCTTCTGATGCTCCTTGGTAAGTCCGGAACCAAGTCTCTTAAATCATTCAGAATTCGATCAGCATCACTGATGCTGAGAGAGGTGTTCGTAATTAATGACATCAACACGTTGTTGATCTGGTCTTTGCGATTAAGGGACTTTTGAGAGCATGAAATAACGTCAGTAGATCCTACAAAAAATGTATTCGCGTATTAACTTTATATACATACCATTATTATCTGGAGGCCTTTGATAATTCTACCTAGTGGATGGTGTCATAATAGCAGTCTCATTACTAGTAATTTTTCTCTCCACTGCTGTCAATTAAACGTGCACTACATAGAAAGTCACTTACCTGTGATTGTGCTTTCACTAGCCGACTCACTAAATGAAAGCAAGTTATGTTTTTTTCATGAAAGCTATTCGTATTTTATTCCATCGTCTGTTATAAGTCGATCTATGACAACCAAGAACGCTTGACAGGTTAATAGTTGCCCTTCGTCTACGAGCTCTATCGGTGACTTCAATGGAACTAATGTTATTGGACTAACAAGGTAGTAAATTGTAATGAACATGAAAAACGGAGAGCACGTCACTCACTTGCATCACGTTAGTTATTTGTGTTGGATACCAAGCATGTCCGAACACTTTAGCTGAACAAAGATTAAAGTCAGTGAATATGAGTGTCAACCTAATCACTGCGTTCGTATTTTGTTAATTTTTTTCATGACAATAGTGATGTTTCTTTCATAATATCTTAGTTATTTTTTGGACGTTTATGAAAACATAACAACTGGAGGCGGCATATTCAAGAACTATACGTACCGTATTTTTGTCTACAAATATCCCCTAAATACACGCTGTAAAGGCGAAAAAGCGACATTTCCCCTAAATAACCGACGTAAAGGCGAAAAAGCGACATTTACCCTTTATTTACGCTTTCGTCCCCTTTATTGGTTGATTGGGTGCATATGTTGGCATATCGTAACATTATAAAAATACGAAAAACAAAATTTAAAATATTCGAAATATAGTAGACTTAAGATATCATACACATTCCCATATTCATCAACATGAGATGGCAGCTATCAGTAAGTGGAAACCAATAAGGCATAGTGACTTTAAGTGATCAATATCTTGTTGGGTTGACAACTAATTCATGTTGTCTGTATGCCTCGTATGAAAGCTATCGCAGTAGCGAAACTCCTACCAAGTCGCTTACATACACCGGTTAACCCTCATTGAGGAGCACAGAACGCTCACCGGTACTCTCCATCCAACCCTGTCCTGGGCAGTCCCTTCCAGTTGCTATTCATCATTTCCATGCCAACTTCCCATTCCCGACGCAGTGTATTCTTTGGCCTTCCTATTTTTCTTTCATCTTCAGGATTCCATGTTAGCACTTGCCTCGTGACGCTGTTTGATGATTTCCATATGATGTGTCCTATCCACTTCCAACGACATTTCCTCTTCAACTAGAAGCTCGTTTGTTTTCTCCCATAGTAGGCTGTTGCTGGTAGTATCCGTTCAACGGATTTTGAGTAGAAAATTGTCTATAAATACTTGTACTTTCTAAATGATGGCTGTCCCAATCAATGTCGTTTCATGATATCCTCATATACAGTGTCGTCCATTCCAACTTTAGCGTTTAGATCTCCCAGGACGATGAGGTCATTTCTTGGGTACTTAACTATGATTGAATGCAGCCTATTGCAGAACTGGAATTTATCATCGTCATTGCTATCATTAGTGGTTGCATAAAATTCATCGTAATCCCCTCCTAAATTGTTTTGAAGGATGCTTTGATGATCCTGGATCTGTGAAATTCTCATCCTATGAAAGCGCTACCCACTTCTTTGGTTAGCATGAGAGCGACCCCCTAAGTGTGTGAAGCATTTTCCTCGTCGTGTCTGGAGTACAGCAGCATCTCTCCTGTATGTAGTCTTTGATGTCCAGCTTGGGCCCAATGGGTTTCGAGTACTACCAAGTCGTGCTCCTCATTTCCTTCGCTACTCGATCAGTCCATCTGGTCTCCCACATTGTCCGGATGTTCCATGAACCTACATTGATTGTCGCTCCGGTTGTTAGAAGGGACATCGGTCTCGTGACTTCCGAAGGATCTCGGCTTTCATCATGAGGTTTCACAATTTTCCTTCAACTTGTAAGGTGGTTAAAATGGTTTAATTTGTTTAGCAAGGCTGTATTCCACGGGATAGGGCTGCCGACCAAATACCCAACCCCCATCCTTTACCTGGGCTTCGGACCGGCAGTAGGCACAGAAGTGCTGCAGGCAGAGTTAAATATGTTTTGGAAATATATAATCCAGAAATAAAGTTCTGGGTAAGTTTTCCGTTTGAAATATGTCCCCGGAATTAGATGATAGTTTGGTCGGTTTCAATTGTAACGTATGGTGTCGCTTTATCACTAATACTTCAACACTGAGCGTTATTCATCCTTGTGAGTTGATGTTGACTTTTTACCACAGAGACCATTTCAAACTGATCAAGATCTTAATCCTTCGGTGCAATTAGTATAGTTTAAAACCATGTGCCATTTTCGCGTTCTAACTTATCACTAGCACATCCATTTATAAACATTCACATAGCATCTTAGATTATCCTCCTAGAATTGTCAAAAGTATGGGGACTGGTGAGACGAAATGATTACAAATATGTAGTGTCGCGTTCCGCTCCATTACACTGCATGTCGGAAACTTTAGCCCAAACAGAACTTAATGCTATAGATCGTGTGATTGAAGCTATTCATCCGAAAATCACCTGAAATTAATTCCTCACGATAGATGACTTCCTGAAGGCCGAAGAACGTCATTGACTATGACCGCATTTTTTATTCAATATGTCACTCCGCTTTGTTAATCTGAACTATGACATTATTCCTATGATGTCAAAGAACCTATGAAAATATAGACGTCAGAATTCTCAGGACAGAACTGACTTCCTACATACCGAATAAGCTAGGCTCTGCATAAATACAAGTACAAGCAGATATCTAAAAAATTTTTTACACATCCTTATCGATATTTGGGACAAGTAATCTTTTTAGTAGCATTATACTAAGACCCTTTCGTTTATTCTGTCAGGGGGAAATTAGGTAACCTGTCTCCATCGCGTCAATTTGTTCAATACTAATTGTTCCAGTGTGTATCATTCATTGCTCTCGCATTCGCGTAAAATATTGCATTAGTGTTTCATGTTTAGACACGGAATCTAATGTCCCTCTTGGCGTGACTACAGAGTAAATGACAGAGAATCTATCTAAGTTAGCGTCAAGTTTTAAAGCTCAAATTAGCATTTACCCTAATCAAGCAGTTGCTTCTAAAGTTGACAGAAGACTAGCATAACCCGAACATGAATGTACAAATTGCTCATCTATGTTATCGTAACTAGTGCTGCTAAATCTACCAAATCATTCAAACACCTATTCTAATCAGACTGACACCTAATAATTTACTTTTTCTTAGCAGTCACCTGGTATATATAGAAATTAAATATCAGAAAATAATGTAGATTTTGAAACATAACGTTTTAAGCGTTTGAATCAATGTAAACTTCTCGAAAAAGTGTTATAATTAAAAAGTAATCAGGCACAGTTTAAAAAAATCAACAGAAAAAAGGGAGTGAAAATAACTTGTCCACTATTCACGCAAAAACGAATAAATTTTCATGAAGGTAAAAAATATCTATTTGTGTACTATGGTATTATAACATTATAACTTATGACATTGCGAAATTGAATACACAAGTTTAGTAGAATCAAACATAGAATTATGCTTAGTTCTTTTTGAATTCATAAGTTAATTTACAAACACATACATTGTGCATTGCTTTTTGTAAAAAAAAGATAACATAACACATCCTGGAAACACTGTAAATTCATTTACGGAATAACATTGAATTATGCACTGAATTCATTGAATATCACAGACAATCAGCGAAAAGAGGTGATAGAACTATTGACTTTTTAAAAGCATATCAATCTACAAAAATAATGATATTAAGCAATGCATCAACGAAATATACAACAACACACTTCATCCAAAATTTACATAAACGTCATAACTCGTGACTTCATACGTAAAGAATTCTGCTTCCGTTCGGGAAACTACTAGACAATATCACTAACCTGTGTACCAAGTTAATTACATGGATATGTTGACCACGTTGCTAAACTGTTTATATATGAAGTTGACATGAAGTGTATGAGAACTGGAAACCTATGAAAATCACTCAATTACGTATTTTCTAGTTGATAGTCAAACATCCATAATCCGCTCTACGTATTTCGAAGTTTCGACAGTCAGATTGTAAAGCCAGACCTCATGAAGCAGTATGCGCCAAAGCAGTATTGAAATGTTTATTTGGTCGAAGGTAATTAAAGAAAACCCTGAACATAGGTTTTGTGCAAAATGGTACTAGTCAGCAAAGCGTACCTGGAACCTTAAGAGAGCTGATGTTCTGTGAGAAATCCAAATCCACTTCCCCCAGTTCCACCGTATGGGGAGTAATCACTGACTATTTTAGACAGACAATGGCTCTGTAAAATTGATATCTTTACATGGTTTATAACTGACAAGTGATAAATATCATATTTGTCTTGTCCTTAAAGTTGGCCAAATTTCAACGATGAATTTGTAATGTGACATCTAGAGATTAGCACCCTACAGTAAGCATCAGTTCCATCAGAATTCCAGAAACGCCTGGTGTTGGGCAGCTCCAACTAGCGCGACACATAGTTTAAACAGGATTTCCTGTCAGCTATCTCTTAAAAAAACAAAACTTCCGTTGGAGGGCTCTAAAATACTCTTCGAGAAAGTTAACAGGGGTCTAGGAAATGCTTAGAAACAATTTATACGATTAGGACTGAGTGGAAGTTTCTTCCAAACATCTAGAAGGATAGTAAATCACGTGTCGAGCTTTCAGTTGGACAGTTACATTTTTATTGCTATGTTCAGCATACTTCCAGAGCTCTCCAGACACTTAAAATCAAGTTATATAGCGCAAATAAGCACGATTATCTGTGCATACCTTAACTTTGGAGAAAAGTCCTTATTTGCACTTTACGCCGTTTCTTTCGTGTTCAAGTGTCCACCTAGATTTAGTCTGAGTTATCAGAAAAAGATTGAGAAATCAGATCGAGAGTTCAAATAACAAATAAATAAAACTACACCAATAATTACTTACCTGCGCTCTATACATTTCTTTAACATCAGCTAAATCCAATTTAAGTTCATTATTTTCTTCCGTTAATTTGCCACATAAAATCAATAAAGTTTCATAACGTTGTTGTAATTCCATTGTAGGATCATCGTCATCAATTACATCACCAATATCATGATTATGGTAATTATTTGTAGTAGGAGCGAAGGGATCTGACTGTGCTAAAGTTCTACTTACATGTTTTGTATATTTTACACCTGCTAACTTTTCATATTTTTCAGCTCGAGCTGTTTGTTTAGCAACTTCAGTTAATAATTTCTCTTGTGTGGCTGTTAATTGTTCAATTTCACGTTTCAAATGAGCACATTCACCTTCGCGTAAATGTAGATGAGACTATAAAATAAAATTATTTTAAATTAAATGAGAATAAAGAATCCATGTTTAACGAAATTCCTTTAAAATTCATGATTAGAGATCACGCGTATGGGGTCGTGGATGCATAACTCCGAGGAAATCTTTGTAGGACAAAATTGCCATACAGCGATCATAGGTTTTCAATGGTGGTCTAATTTAGCTTGGTTCATGATTTTAATAAAACCCAACAAATAAAATAATATCAGTGAAGTACCACAACTGATTATTCATAAATATACAATGAAAACGATAAGGAATAATTTGATAGAGATGACCAGCTGATGTGAATCATATAATTTATGAGACACTACAATATACAAGCACCTCGGTAATAAAATGCGAATTCGTATACATTTGGTATACGATATCATGTTATAACCTGACCGAGATCAAATTAGATGAAGTATTGTTCAAATCTGTAACCCAACGAATCAAGATTGAGTGATATAACTATTATCTGACTCTCGGTCACTAAAGACTCAGTTACGTACAACTAGCAAGGGACAAATTCATATAAATGGCTTTGAGTTACACTTTAAGTGTGATAAATATTAGTACTACTCGGTTATCTTAACTGAAGCGAATGTGGTGGGATTCGAACTCAGGATTAAGTGTCTGGGATTCGAATGCCTTAACCAATAAATCATCATTGCAAATCAGTTGACCTAATACACATAAATAACTTCAATTATATTTATATACTTGGCTATGAGGTTCATTACCAGTATGAGATGAATTTTCATAATATTCAGTTACCGACAGAAAATAGGAGAAAATGAGCACGAACATCATGACTAAATGTCGAAACGTTAAGTGTCCAGATAGTTGATCTACCGCTACAGTGGTGACAACAAATTCACCTGTTAACTCAATCTAAATTTTGATCTTGAATATTATATCACGTCTTTCATGTTCCTTATTATCCGTTACCTTTGAATTAATTTATTCATGATTAGTTTTTACCAGTATCATTTCCACTCCTGTGATTCTCGTCTAGTTACGATCCCTTAACTAAGCTGGTATTGTAAGTAAGAAGTCCAGTCCTAAAGAAAATACTCCTTCTGACCTTAAGTGTATCAATCTACTAACTACAGACTCATCAGTAGGCTAAGAATACATACACGACATACTTCCGACTGATGAAGACACTGAGAAAATTTAGTATTCCGAGACTTTTGAGTGAAAATTTAAAAAAGTTTTGGATGCATTTCTTTAACTATAAATGCAAACATTTGCTTCAAAACTAGTTTCAAATAACGTCTATCCTGACCACTGACGGTGAAGTAGTTTAATAAGTTGACGACTTTAAAAGAGTATCAGTTCTCTAGTGATTGCGGATTCGCGCCTTGACAACAAATAACAGCTCTCATAAAGCTTGGATCAAACGGATTTCGACAACCTAAATATTTGATTCCAATTACTGTATATTATCCAAGTTAGCAAAACGATTACAGAGAATAAAAAAGGGGTTAAATGGTAAACACAAACCTCAAACACAGACTAAGATTCTATATTATAATTACTTCTTACTTGAAAATATTCCATAGAAGCTTGATTGACCATATCAGACTGAAGTTGAAATGTTTTTGGAATACTAGCCACTTCATTGTTGAATGAAGATTTTCGCTGAAAAACGGAAAAGGTAATCAAGAATTCAAACATAATGTTAATGCTTTGGCTGTCATATAATAATAAACAATATACTGAATATCGATTCGGATATTTGGGAGTTTTCAGGAACTGACCATTCGATCGAATACATATTGTCGATAATATCAATGCAACTCATTATAAGCCAGTCTGTCGAAATTTAAGCTAAGGAGATTTTAGCACAGTAATAATACTAATTATAAAACTTTGCCAGTTATTTCTAGTTGCTATAGACATATATAATAAAGCCAAACCAATTTAAACTTTAAAAAACAGACCAGATGAAGGCTACTTCTAGTTAGTGAAAGTGATTGACAAATTTATCGTTTTACTATGTACAGGTTGATGTGCTAAGCTTTGAAGCAGACAGTTTCCATAAGAGCTAGCGATCTTAATTGTCGTTCGGAACAAAACTAAATTGTAACAAGGTGTGAATCTGAGAATGAGTGCTTTTATCACTTAATCATAGCGCTTTAAATTGGTATGTTTCAAAATGCTGTAAAGCCTATTCAGACAAGAACACAAACTTCAAATTACTGGTTTATATATAATCAAATTTTGTATGTAAATGAAAAATAGGAAAATCAACATTCAACACCATCTCTTACTGAATAATAAACAATTTAAAATTTTGTATGAATTAAGCACTGATGATGTAGTCCAGAACAACAACGAAAGTTTCACAATTAAACAATCCAGCGTAAAGAATGTAACACTAAAAAGCACTTAATTTAGCTACAGTTCTTCACAATCATTTCACAACCAGCAATAAATAGCTGTATGACATAAATTTTTATGAATGATTCGATTATTTTCTCATATTTTAGATTTATAGACGCTAGATCATTGTATGGATGTTATCGCATAAAAAAATAACTTTTTAAAGAGATATAAAGCATGTTTGTACCATACATTCCTTCTAACTGACTTAATTCTGAGTGTTTATAAGTTGTTTCTTTCTCCAAATTTGAGCTGAATACTCTTTCATACATATTACTTCTAATAGTTCATTAAACAACGAATTATTATTGAACATAGAATATGAATAATAGATAAATGTTTGGAAATGCTAGAATTTTATTAATAGAAATATTATGATACATCATGACTAAATTATTACACTAAGCGTGAAAACGTCAAGATAAGAGAAAGAAATCAGTTATAAAAAAATTGAATCCATGATGTTAAAGATACAGTGAAATCTAAGCGAAAATTTGGTATGTTCCTATACAACTTAGATCAATATTATATGTGGATTTGGCAATCTTAGTTTTGTGATTACAAGTTATCTATCACTAGAATGGTGTATTAAGAAACGCAAGAATCCAATCATAGACAAATAACAAGTTGGAAAATCTATTAAATTACACGTGTTTTCTAACTTTGTACGTCATGTTTTATAGGTCAAACTACATAGACATTTCATAATTAGTAACAATAACAATAATTCAAACCGGGAATTTCATTCGGGATTTATAAATAACTTCCTATCAACAAACAGGTGACAGAAGTTCGATTGCTGAACACATGTGACTTATTTTATAACATACTAACTAAACAGGAGTTTCACAGATGAAATAACTTCTAGGCATATCTAACATAATTTCTTACACCCACTTATCTGAAGAGTAATTTAAAAATATACCTAATCAAATGTATAATCAGGCTATAATCGTTAACTATTTTTAAAAAACTGAAATGTTAAAGAAGATATCTATAATAAAAATGTATTCACAATGATTGAATTCAGAAAAACGAAGCATATACACAAACAGAAATGGTCCAGTGAAGTTATGTATGTAAAAAGTTTAAATAAACTTTTATATATATATATATATATATATATATATATATATATATATATATATATAATAGTCCACAAATTTAAACATACGTCAAGTGAATGTGAATTCAATGGTTGATCGATGACCTTATTTGCCACAAGTTGGTCTTTTGCCAATTTCATTTCTTCTAATTGTAAGCATAAATTATTATTCACCGCTTCTAGTGTTTTATAACGTTGCTCTTCAGATAACAATGTTTGTTGTAATTCACATATACGAGAACGAAATTCATTCATTTCAGATTTAGATGTTTCCAGTTTGACAGTTAATCTATAAAATATTTGAAAAATACAGTGGAAAAAAAGAAAGTTTATTGAATAATGACATCATACGATTACTTACATTTTATTTCGTAACTAAACTAAAATCGGGAATCAGTGAGATATTAAAACGTATAACCTGAGATATATGTGCATTGGTTGAAGTTGTCACATAATATCAATACGGTGAGACAAATGTCAAAGTAGTAGAAATGGTAACAATATCATGCATTGAGGTATTATTTTAAATAAGACATCCAATATAAGGAAATACTGAAATAAATATGTAACTGTTTTAGGTGATGCATTTAACATTTGCTACATCAATTTCGTACATGGTTTCCAGACTCGGACTAATCGATGACGCTTAAATAATGAATAAATCAAGGGGTGAATAAGCAACTGAAGATTTACTCTTTAAGGCACCATAATGTGATAAGAATCTTGCGTTACTTGTGTGATTAGAAGCAAACTTGAAATTGTGTGACATTCTATAAAGTACGCCAAAACTAAAAGCAATTTCTGCGCTTAACAAAAAAATCAGAACACAGCCGTTTGGAATTAACAAGCAATCAATAAGGGTGTATACAAGTTAAATGTGTTCGAAAGTATTTTACGGTTCCTTTGTAGGGAAGAAAGATGAAGAATTATTAGCATATTCTAACAATGGCTTCTGATCATTTTAATGAATCAGTGAATAAATAGCCAGTCATACGCAAAGTAGAACCTGGTAAACTGATTGAAGTTGCCATAGCATAACAAGCACAGAGAAACATGGAAGTATCAATACAGATGAGAGAGTAGTAGAAACAACCAAATTATTAGCAACGGTGAAAAACACTAGGCATATACAAACTCAAAATTTAAGGGACGAGACAAAGTGAATGCATCTGAGTCATTATGATCGATTTCGAGTCAAATCACGGGTTAAAATAATCTTGCGGAAATGAACTAATGGTCTAAAACAGAGCGCTTAAATCACTGAGACAGGAGTTTCATACACATATATCGATATAACTTCGTATTATAAACAAATATGATGTTTAAAAGTTATAATCTCAATGACCAATTTTACTGAACATGATGAGACATTAGAAAGCTCTTACCTTTCTTCCGTTGGTTGATATCTTAGGGATTTAAAATCAATGTAATTATTTCTACTACCTTGTAAGTTCTCAAACATTCATATAAAAATTCGTAACTTTGAGAATAATTTACATCATAGTGCCTTTGAAACAGGGGATTGTACAAGATAATAAGGCACTGAATAACATTCTAATCCGGTGTTGAGAAACATCAGTCATGTCCACTCATGACTCAAGGACAGACCTCACGACTCACTGGCCTGGCGGTAAATATACATCCTTAAACCAATGAGTTGTAATTCATTGTTTTACGTCTCAAGCTTTAAATGACTGAACATGTTGGACGGTCACCATGTTTGATTACTGATTTATGCATGAACTTTATAAATGTTAGGTGAAACTATTGTTAAATGTTTAAAACGCTTTCGATTTTCTTAAGCTTATTCATTCGTTTATCTAGTGTTTATCCTCATTCAATTTAAAAGAAAGTAATAAATTTGACATTTTTGATTGTTTAGATTTGGGAAAAATACAGCAAACCATTACGTAATTGAAATTCGTTTTGAAAAAAACATACACCTACTCTTGTAAATCGAACATGCTACCCTGTGATTTTTCTTGTTCTGCTGTAAATATTTTCTGCAAATCAACATATTTCTGCTTTAAGGAATTCAATTCCAATCTAGCCACTGCTAAATTATCCTCTGCTATTTGAAGCTGACTTCGCCATGATTCTTCAGACGTTTGAGCATTATCGGCTGTAAGTTTATATTCAGCTAAATATGAGAAAAAATTGAAACAAACCCATAAATAGTATTCAATGATGGATTTTATTGCACATGTTAGTGTAATTTTTAAGACACTATATATCTTGATGTGCAAAGAGACATAAAAAAGGAAGTTACAAATAAGTAATATATTTGTAATATCCCAATGAGTAGAAAAATTAGATTTTCTGACGTTTCGTGACTTATAGTAAGTCACTTATTCAGAGAATAAATAACCAAATTAAAAAAAGGAAGTTAGCTTGAAAGAGAAAATCTTACTTGAATGCAGTGCATCTTAATATCAAGTATAACTTTTTAGACACTTTTACTATGGATTATGACCTGATGAATAATAGATAGACGGTTCGAGGTGTGAAAATGAACCAATACAATACTGCTTAATTGATCATATACAATGATAAGATATGATTCAATGATACACCGTCATGAGATTAAAAACTGAATCAAGTCTCCGAACGAACTAAAATAAAAGACGAGATTAAGAGCCAGAAAAATACGTTTTTATCTAGTGAAATAACCAAGTGGTCTGAAGGTTGAATTCTTGCTGCGAAATCCGAAGATCTTGTTTTCGACTCATGTTGAGGAGAATCGTGTTAAATTGAAACAGCTGTCCGGTGCTTTTTGATTTTCAACGAACGTCTAATTAATATCATTCTGTGATCCAAACCATATAACTCAACAGCCTCCACCAAACGCCAATAATTATATCAGTTTTGTAAGTCACTACTAGAAATTCACCTAACAAATTTTACATTCATCATAGATTCATATTTGACACTAAAGTTGGACTTGCAGTAAACGAAATAGAATAAAAAAGGTCATCATACTTTTTAAAAGAAACAGTAGAATTACGACAGTTATGAGACGATGATCACTAAATATTGTCATTTTTTCTAATTTATGTAATACGATCATCAAAATAAGTAGCTGGCGATAATTGCGAACTGCATACTTTTGAAAAATAATAATAGGTATAATTTCAGACTTAATTAGTATCAGTAATCAGTGGCAAGGTTCATTTTAAAAAACCACCTCTCATAAATATAAATTTCTTCACACATTTTAATCCAAACAACTAAACAAAGATTTTGAAAAAATATTGCAGTTAACGGAGATTCAGATACGGTATACCAATTTATTCTTTTATGTAAAATCGCAATGCCAGTGCCTTTGTAAAATATGAAACTCATACACTGAATACATCATTTGTACATTTTCCTTGAGTTGTCCTTTATATATTCCATCATTCTTCTGATTCAGTTGATATACCGACTTCTCACTATTTTCCTTCCTCTTTTCTTTATTTCATCTTCTGTTGAGAAGCATTCTACGTTCAATTCCTCTCAAATACTACTTATATAGGTCCGCATAAGTAGCGCACACCACAATATTTTCAGCAAATACCCTTCTTTAGACGATAAACTGAATAAAGTAAATAAATCGAGTTGAATGATCAATTAATAATGCTGATCGTACTGCCCAATAATGATAACGTATTCAAAGATGACAGATGAAGGTAGCTTCTTCACAAACAAATGTCAAAAAAATGAAACCTAGATCAGCAGCTGCACAAAACTTAAAAAATTTGAAACACGACACAGTAATCAAGTATAAGATTCTACGAAAATCAACTTTGAGCTACTATTTCAAAGTAAGAATTACTAATACAATCAGATTATCTAAAATGAAGTAGGTAGAATGACGTAAGGACGTCAGTAGTAGAGTTTTAAAATGAAGTGCCTTGATCCCGGTTCAAAAGATCATGTTCCTTCTTGTTAAGGACATTAAAATTTAGCTAATTTTCGTTAATAAATGTTAGTTTTCTTTCCTTTAACAATAAATACAAGAATGATTTTCCTCATTCGTATTTCCCCACGAACTTAAAAATTTCCTGATTGACCACTAAGACTCTCAATCGGTTAATTTTTGCTTTAAGGTGATAACATCTAGTGACTTTACACTAGATTTCGTTCTTCATAAAATAATCTCCGTAGTTCGTAAATATCAATCATTGTAGGCCGAACCAAACAAAATGTCAACATGCAACACTAGGGTTAATATGAAAACGTTCGAGCACAGAAAATAAACAATTTTAGAGGATTATGTAAAGATTGATTTATAAATTTTATTCACCATAGATTAATCTAAATTAAGGTGACATTGAGAACTATGAAGCACTAAACATCTGTTTCAACCGAGTATAAGACTCCTCAACAGTGCACATCCATGAACCTCATCAAAGATTGAAAATCAAACCTTCAGCTTTGGAGAGAAGCAAACGACTCATTATTAGAACCACAGGGTAGACATTCAATGACATCGTTTCAATCTCGATCACTTACGAAGAAAACTATAAATACCAAAAAAAACACTCAAATATATTAAAATAACAAATCTATTTTGGAAAGTTTCCAAAATTAAACACTCACCTAATAATTTATTCAATTGTCTTTCCTTCGTTTCCCATTCAAATGCTTGATTATTGAAATTAGATTGAAGAATTTCTAATTGCTTCATAATTGGTTGCGTTGCAGTGGTAGTTGTTTCATTCAATAGATCAATTTTCAACTGGGCATCAGACAATAAACCCTAATACGATATATATACATATATAGAGAGAGTGAACAGTTTATTGATGCTATTAGTTTAAAAAACGGCTGAAATATCCAAAACAGTTATATTCACTCGAAGTTGTTATATTCGAACGAAGAATAAATGGATGGTAACTGTCAAGAATTATTTATGGACGGTTTTTACATAAATAATCATATATATATATATATATATATATATATATATATATATATATATATATATATATATATATTCCTTTTATCATAAGTATCATTTGACCTATCAGTTATTGCAATACGATATACCATTCTGAACTTATTCCCAATCTATTGATTACAGTCTCTCACACAGCCTAATCTTGTATAATAATTATTTTTCATTTTGTGGTGTGATGTGATCTAGTCTGCTTGTATATAAACCACGCATATATTTAAAAAAAACCATTCATACAGTGAAGGTTGGTATCCGTGTTCTAGACTTAACTGACTGGAATAGGCGGAAAGCTACAATACAGAGGACAAATAAGAACTCACAGATGACTCAAGGCTGTTAGTGCTGTTTGATGTATCTTTTTTTCAGTACAGGTACAATGTCATAGAGGTCGATATTCAGATTGGTGGTTTTGTCAAGTGATAATTAACAGGGGTATAATTCATTAACAACACTTAAACCAAAGAAAATGAGTGAATTTTTATTGTGAGACTACTTAGAAATGACATTTTGTATTTGTACTACTGACCATTATAAGTCACGAACGTCCGGTGGAAAAGAAATGGTAATTGTGATGACACGAAACCATATTCCTCAATAGAAGAGATGAAATGTCGCTAGAAGTGAATACTGCCTACTCAGCAAGTTACAACGTAGGACCAGGCACATATATGCATCCGTCCAAGTTGCCACACTTTATTAGCACAATAAGATGAACACCAAATTCATAATATTTACTTCAGTGGTAGTAATATATAAGAGAAAGATTGTGTATGAGGATATGATACAGAGAGAAAGAATCACTTCATAGAAAGAACGATATAAAGCAATTTTAATCTCGCGGTCTTAGGTAAGACAAATAGTGCATACACCTGCACCATTATGATCGATTCTGAGCCATGTCACACAAAGTCTCTAACCATCGGTTACGATATTCACACGGACCCCAATTAAGTAGTCTGCATCTACAAACATGGATCAGACCAGGAGTTAGTGACTAGATGGACTGACGCCACGTTTTGTTTTGGACGCATTCCAAACATCCTGACATTGTCACTGAGTGCTACCAAAAGAATTTGCATCTCATCATCGACTTCACCAAACATAACTACATCATGTGCGTATCCTAAGTCGATAAGTGCGCCTCCTGGAAGAAGATCGATTCTCGAAAATTCAGTAGACGAAAAGGTGTTTTCCATCAGTATGTCGATGATGGAGTTAAACAAAAATGAAAGTAGTGGACTGATTATTGATACAGTGATCTTGATTGCTGTTAGAGGTATGAGGGCGGTTATCACTTCCCGGTTGCCCACACCGTGCAAGGGTTCTTCTGGAGGTACCTGAAAACGAAATTGGGTGGGGAGTGGTCTTAGTGACCTGAGAGCGTGATCGCAATGCCCAAGAGACAGCTGCTCGAGGTGGATCACACACGAGTAGTTTGTGAGTAATTTTCGTGTTAGCCATGTACTTGTTAGGACCTTACCGACGGAGACGGAAGTCCGTGAGATAAGACGAAGTGTGCATTTTTAGGGCCGAGCTTTTCTAGCCCCACCCTTTCTTTGTGGGAAGGCAACATCGCTGTTATGATGGTTATCTGAAGGAAACACGTTGATGCTGTCACACCTCCGTACAGTCAGCAGTACGATTTCGCCTTGGGTTTCCTGCTTTTAGTCTTACGGCTCTTCAACCGACCTGTCTAGTATGGTAGGCCTTGAGAAACGATTGTTCCAGCCAGTATAGCTCGATTGGTTCATTACGGTAGGCAAGCCCGACTACCACGTCAAGGTAGTAGCAACTGAAGATTATTACATCATTATTACACTGTTTATTGACTTTGATAATCTAACCAGAATGTAAACAGCAACCAATTAATCAGAGACCTAGTCTAATTTGAATGATTGCATTCGTTAGCGGTTTTTGTTATATCCGTAATCTGCAAGAACCTCAACATTATACAGCGTATTCCAATCGAAGTCACTGAGTGTCTATGTTATATCTCACTAGACGATCGATACGCCTTTGTGAAAAGAACCACATGTAGGAATGTTTCATCATACGCATAACAAAATAATAGCATGTTTTTGAGACCATATTCGAATGAAATTGATAAAGTGTTTAATGTTAAAATAAGAACCGAAAGTTAACCTGATAATACTGAATTTCTTCTCTCCATTTAATCGCTTGTTCTTCATGTTGTGTTTTAAATGCACGTAAATCTCTTGAATTGCCGTCCAGTTTCTGTTTTAAGGTTTCACATTCAGCCTTTGCTTTTTCTAAATCTTCGACACATTGACTTTCAGCTTGTGAATGACAGTGAATTCGATTCAACTGTTCTTTCAACTCTGAATTTTCACTAAAACAAAAGATAAGCAAGAGAATTAGGTAAAATTTGTACTTTTAATAATCATGCTATGATTGCTAATTAAAATCAAAGTTACGCGCTAAATTGGTAAAATAGTTTTGTCAGCAAAAACAGTTTTACGGTGATAAATACTTCAGAATGAATGCTTTAGGACTGGCCTAAATTATTGCCTACATTGAATATAAGGATTGAAGCAGTTCAGTATACTCACAACTTCACTTAGTGTGCAATCGTCATCAACTGATTTAGAAAGCTTGACTGGTTTTCTTCAGCTTATGTCATCTGTGACGTAGGTGAGATGTCCGTCTGATGACCAAAGAGCAAGTATACTGGAGATCAGTTCATACTACACTACTCCCTAGCTGTTAAATGTGGTCTATGAAATTAAAAATCTATAGGCTAAAGGTTTTGCTCATACGTTTCTTGAAAACATTGCTCGTGTATCATGAAACGATTGAGTGAAGACTGAAAATTTAGTTTTTGACAAACATGCAACATCAGGAGTTTAAAAATCCCCATACAATATTCAAAAATGATGAATATTTGAGCGAACAATTGTTTTCAATAACTTCATCATCAGGCTCTACAGTTCTATATATATATATATATATATATATATATATATATATATATATATATATATATATATATATATATATATATATATATATATATATATACTTCAAAATTGTATTATTTGCAAATTAGAAAGGTCAGTCAATAAAGGCCAGGATGATTTGGAGTAGTGTTCAGTCACAATAAGTATAATAGTATTATAACAAAATCGAAAATGTAAAAACAAAACTGTGTGAATAAAATACATAGTAGGAGAATTTCATCTTGTCAATTGAGATAATAATAATAAGATTGTTGTGTGAATATAATATGTAATAAGGGGGTAGGGGGTGTTATCAAGGTAATTACGATCAACGAATTGGGAATGATGGATGTGAAGATTAAGATAGAGATAGTCAACAATAATGATAATAAGGAGAGTAAACAAAATAGAGGAAGGGAGTAAGAGGTTTAAAATATTCAGACTAGGTATTCGCTGATCCAGTCGTAGGCCAAGGTAAACATAGAGGCTGGATATATTTTTTCTGGATACATAAATTAGGTCTTCTAGAGTTGATTCAGATGGCTTCGGCTATGTAAAGCAGTCGTAATCTAGCTCCTTGAGGTAGATATTTTGGAACTTGATATAAAACAGAGAAAGCTTCCTCTATTTTGATATGTTCATTATCTACCAAGTGTGAAAGAATAGCACTGTTATTAGTTTCAGTAACTCCTTTTCCCAACCATGCCGGTACATGTTTACGAACACGCAAGGATAAAGCCCTCTGAGTACGGCCCATGTAACTAGCTCCACAGGAGCAGTTGAATTGGTATACACACATGGAGGAGCCCATCTTCGGTAACCTATCCTTGATTAGTTGTGTGAGTACTGGTTTAGTCGAGAAGATTATGTGTAACTTGGCGGCATGAAACGTCCTTCCGACAGATCTTTCGAGTCGACGTGTTAGAATATCACCCGCTATGTCCCCTTTAAGGTCAGGTCTCAGATACAAGGTCTTTTTGCTGACTGTGTCACAATGTCTTCTTTTTTTATTACTTTGTACGAGGTATTTTTTGACGAAATTATCAGGATAGCCATTATATCGTAATGTGTTCTTTAATATATCTATTTCGTCATCCACACTGTCTTCAGAACATAATAACTTGATTCTGCGGTTGAGACACTTAACCAAATTTATTTTATATTGAAGAGGTGTGAAGCTTTGGAAATGGGTATACTGACCCGTCCATGTACTCTTTGCAAATAATACAATTATGAAGTATATATATATCGTAACAGATGAAAAAGTGCACCAATTTTTTAACACATGCAACATCAGTTGATGAGGCTGTGGACCTTCGTCAACTGAAGTGATTTGCACGTGTATTACGTATCCCCAACCACAACCTATCTCAATACACAATGTTAGCTTGTGTGCGAGTAGGATGAAAGAGAATTAGATGCGGCCCAACTAAGATGTCCCACCAGTTTATCAAGTCATTGACTGTTGGTTTGAGTAGTGTTGTTAGATAGACGATTTGGTTAGGGTTAGTGTGAAAACCACAATCAGCGTTTAAAGACATTTAGTAACATGGCTAAGAACCAATTAAAGCGGAACAAATGCATGCAATCTTCTTTCAAGCCCTTGATTTTTATTATTTTCCATACATACATTTTTATTCCTTTGTTTTGAATTGTTTTCAAAAAATCATGGAAACTAAGAGTATCTATGTCAGGTAATTGAAGAAAAAACACAGAAAATACAGAGTCTGGGGCTTTTGTGTTAGTATGGGCCAATCGATAAGCCTATCTGACGTGTTAAAAGGACTGCTGCTTCCTATAGGATTCAAGCATGAGTCATCATCCAGTGTAACAGTAAGGAACATTACTAATCAGTTACTCATGGAATGACCGACTTCGTAGATGTGTTGTAAATGAACCCTTATAACTATGACACCAAGATTCCGAGTTTTCAGTCAGTCGCTTTTCTTCAAAAAATAACAGAAAAAAATTCTATCACGATGTTCAGTCATTTGGGTTGGTGCTCATACTATAACTTAAGCGATCGGATATGATTAAAAAAACACAAGACGACATGACATAAGATGGTTACCAACTGTGTTTTTAGTATACAATAATATGTATTACATGTACAAATACGTATATTTAGGATAAAAACATACTTACTTAATGAGAGTCTCCAGTTCCTGTTTTTGGTCAGATATTTTAATTTCATTCTTACTGATTTGAATCTAATAAGTATATGCATAAAAATGTTGCTTAGTAGTATCAGATTACATGTATATTAAATAAATGAAACAAATACATTGTTTTCTCACATTTTCACAGTCGAAAACTGATCACTTGAGATGAGAAGGCGAGTTCGCGCTTTATGTAAGTCAGTGTAAGAATTTATGACATTTTTTACTATTCCCAGTGTAACCTTTTAGTTAATATGATATCAGTATAAATAAGTTAATATATTTGTACCATCCCAATGAGTAGAAAAATTAAATTTTCTGATATTTTTAGAATAAATAACCAAATCAAAATTAATCCAAGTTTAAAAGGTACAAAGGAACAACACAAGAATATTGATGTGCGATCATAACATTCATGCGTTGCTTCGTTGTACCATTTAAACTTGGATTAATTTTAATTTGGTTATTTATTCTCTGAAGAAGTGGCTTACACTGAATCACAAAATGTCAGAAAATTTAATTTTTCTACTAATTGGGATGTCACAAACATATTAATTTAATTATAATAACCTACCTAATGCTCAATTTATTTGAAATTATCAAGTCAAACTTTGGTAATGATACCTACAATATGATATCAGGTTTATATTTATCAGTGTAACATAATTTCAAGTCAATGTTTAACGTATCAATTAAGTTTTAGCTTTAATCAGAATGATGTGCAAACTTTACGTCCAGTGTGACAATTATATTCTTGTTATTATCTTATATGAACTTCGTGTATGTTTTACAGTAAACTTTTTCATTTATATAGTGTTTATTAACTAACCAGCAAGTGTGTATAAGATCAGTATATAAATGAATGTAATTGGTTTGACATCGTTGTTTTTTTAAGTCAGTAAATCTTCATTATCTCAGTCGTTGAGTCCTCACTTCGCATTTTGGTGATCACATTAGTTCCCGTATCCAAGTGTAAGTAATAGGATAGCGGACATTACAAAAACGTATTCATCATATCATTAGAATCCTACTCAACAATATAAGTAATACAAATAACAACTGACTTTTGTATCCGAATCATTATTATTATTAGCAGTATTAGTAATGATAATGTTATACATAGAAAAATATATACTAAGGAATTGAAAAGTGAAAAATATTTCAGTGAGGATTGATTACCTTAAGAATTTCCTGTTGTTCTTCCAAATTGTTTATTACTTTCGTTTGTCTAGTAGAATTAGCTGATTTAAAACCAAGTCAAATGAAGGAAAAAACATGAGTCAATAACTGTAATTTGTGAAATGACAGTATTTACCCGTGAATTGATTTAAGAAAGTAACTATTGTTTGAAATGCTACACGGTATACGTAATAATAGCAACCATAATGGAATGGAACACAGTTTTCAAACATTTATCTTTGAATAGCTAAAACAACACATAGTATCAGGTATAATAGCATACTAGTCTTTCTAATTAGTGCCAAGATATACGTGGGTCTTATCTCGTTAAGGTAACGGTGGGAACCAAGGTGCACTGACGAACTTATTCGTTCAAGCGAAACCTGAAGGTCCTAGATTCATTCCAAAATTGGAATCATGGGTTCGTGTTTCTGAAGTCATGGAGTCGAACGGGACAGCTATCAATTACTGCTAGACTATTGATAACATCCCAAATGACATTAATCTGTGACAAATATAACCTAGAAACAGAACCAATCTGCGCAAAACCCCTTCAACAATAAAATACATGCGACACCTAAGAGTTTGTGATTCAATTGCAATGATCAAGTATGAAATACATTTTCATTTAAAAACAGCATTGACAATTATAAGAAAAACAATTAATAGATAAATTTATCGTTACCTAGTTGAATACCAAGTATCTCTTCCTTATTTTCTAAACTGCTTCGCAGCCGTTGAACTTCAGCATTTAATTGTTCAATTTGTTTCCTAGAAGAAAAAAAACACCAATCAAATAACAAGGATAAATAAAATGTAAGAGTCAAAGACGAAAAATTATAATGATTCGATTACGATATTAAAGTACATAACAATTATATAAGTAATATACAAACAGAAAAGTTTATAACACTATTTTTCTTTTCACTCTTTTATTTATGCATTAAGTGCTAGTCGGATATCTTGAGCACCTAAAAACATTGTATTGTAATGTCTATTTTACAGATACCTATTGAATGCGTTTATAAAACAGAACTGTTATGTAAATTAGAGTTAGAACACAACAAATTATACAATTTTCAATTTTCAAAGGTCTAGAGACTAGGTTAAAATTCCATATGTAGGTAATTAATTGTCATAATCCATTCGTGACTTTATACACTATCAAATCTACAACGATTTCATAAGGAGCTTCAAAGAAATAAAGTTGAAGAAACTTTCAAAGGAGACTTGTAGAATAGATGTATAGTGAGGCTAACAGTTGAATGTAAGATGAGCACTTCATTCCTATTGGGACTCATCAGCTTGATGGTGCATCCTGAAGCGAAAATAACATTATAAATTGAATGAATAACTTACTGAGAACAAGAAATAAATAATGACAAGGGAAAAAATAGTAAAGAAATTTGACTATGAATAATGATTTATTAGTTTGCTTCATCAGAATTATGCTAGACAGTAAGAAAAAGAATACAAATGGACACACACCCCAAATGCCCTGGTATGGCCGAGAGTGGGGTGGGTTCGCCCTCTCTCTCGAAATACTCTCACACGGCCACGCGTATATAGCCTCTGCCAGGGAAGTCCTACTCACTGCCTTCTCGTGGTTGGGGTGTTGTTTAAGAAAATGAGAGGACGAAAAGCGAATGTCCGGCGCTTTAACTGGATCCCAAATCAATGGTGCACATGGGCTCCAGTATCCTGAGGGAGCAAATGGCGTATGAACCAATTGCTTGGTCACCGGCTTCCATGGGACTGCATCTCCTCACGATGCTCCACTGTTTTGTGGGTTAGACCTTTAGGTCGAAGGCTCGGGGTGTGGCCCCCTAAGAAAACCACCTGCTTCGGTCTGGGCATCCGGGCAGTATCTCAGCCTACACACAAAAGTGTGGAGCATATATATTTGGTGCCCCCTTGTACCAATATTTATGTGTTTAAATAAATAAATAATAAAATTTCTTTATTTATAGAATAAATATAGAGTGATAAAAGCAGTAGAGGTATTAAATACACAATTCAACTTACAAATGTGATGCTTCTGTCTGCTTGCTTTTTTTCTGTTCTGAACGAAGCTTTTTTAATAGATTATTTGTCTTTAACTGATCAGCAGATAATTTATGACCTTCCTTTAATAAATTCTCAATTTCTTCATTTTTCTGTAAAATTACATTCTCTAATTCATTTACACGTTTCCTGTTATATTATTTAGGGGGAGAAAAGACGTAAACAATGAAATAATCAGTCAGTCACAAACAATGTAGAACCTAGCGAATATGTGCATCGGATCAACTTGTTATGTCATATTAGCGCATCCAGATGAAATTATCATGATGAATACCAAGTTATTAGTATTGTGATATGTGCTACCTATACGGACAGATATAGGTAGTATGTATCGGGCATGGAAAGTAGAAGTGAGAAGAAAACTGAAAGCAATCAGAAAAAACAACAAGAATTAAGGAACAATGGAGTTTGTGAGACAATCCAAAGATGTGCAAATGGTGTATTTAATGTATGACTTTCATATTTTACTAAGCCACGGTGTGACTTTATATTAAACAATAAATCAGTTATCCCCACCAAACCTCCGTTCACTACAGTATCAATAAAAACGAAACAGATTAGGCGTAGAATGAATTCGTGAAATAAAAAGTACAAAATAATGTTGAAACTCAGGATATAATTGTGGACAAAGAGTGGATGTGTATGCACCATTGCAACTGAATTCGAGACATATCACCAAACGTATTCCACTACTGGTCATGGTAGTCGCAAGAACACTAACCAGATAGTTTACATCTACGAATATAGCCCAGTACAACAGTTAATGACCTAATGGACTGGCACGACATTTTGGGTTGGCCATCCCTAGCTTTCTTCCAACCTACTCCCCCTCAAATAAAATCTCATGTCGATGTAGGTGATGATTGGCAACACATGATAATCAATGATTGACAGAATTATTTCCAAAAATCACTTAATTTGAAAAAAAGATTTCCTTTCTGAAATCTAATTAGCATGAGCACCATTGTATAAAATCTAGGTAAAGCCACCTTAATGAATAATAAACACCTCAATATTTAACCGACCGTTTACAATGTATGCATCTAAAATCTATCAACTACATAGGTTTGAGCAGATTAGTAATATAAATAGCTATCTTACATGAGGTGAGGCACACAGACAAATACAATAGATCTGAACACTTGGTAGATGAGTTACTTCATCATATTCTTCTAAAAAAGTAATAGGTAAAACGGAAACCTATACTTGACAAATAAGTTATATTAAATTCAGCAGTCACACACCATTTCAGTATCCAAATTACTAAGTTTTACTATACCAAGTAAGAATTTAATATGACGAAACCAATTTCTTATAGAACCATTCAATAAATTGATTACACTTGGATGATAAACTTACAGTTCAATTAAAGAATAATTTTTAACTGATATATGCGATTAGTTTTATATTTATGTTCAGAGTAAAATAAACACCTAATGTGGTTAAGTGTCTATTTAAGTCACTTTGTTCATATAATGGTAGAAACTTATACTTATAAATCAGCAACAAGTACTAAACGACAATTAAGTTTGATATAGTTTTTTTGATGAATAGATAAAATAGATAGCGAACTCCACATGTAGAAAAGAGTATCTGATGGTTATGATGCTACACCGCATTTACTTCGCTCGCAAGACTTCCAGTTACCAAAAGTATAGAACTATGTATGGAAGTTGCATGTGTGTGTGAAGTGTGTGAAATGTAATGTACTTATTGCGCAACAGCAATAAATATTAGATAGAAGCTTTAAAATGCTGAATCAGTGATTTAAAAAATTAACAGGATGATTAAAAATTGTATTTCTATGCTTTTGATTTAAGTTGGAGAATAGCTAATAGTAGAATACAAGACACGTGTTTCGTCTTATTTAGAATAAACCAGTTGGATATACCCGCCACATACCAGTGTTGATGTTCAAACTGAGAAAAGAAAGCAGTATCTCTCCTTTTAGTTATCATGCTTATACTAGAACGGGAGGAAGGTAACTATACGTTGAAATTAACATCATGAAAATAAAGAATAAAAATGTATGTATGGTGATAAAACGCTGAAATATAATAATAAAAGTAACTTACATATCATTATTTACAAAAGGTTTATCATCACCTACAGCACGTGTGATCACCGGAATTTTTTGTTTCACTGACGATAAACTTTTTTTCAATTGGTCTCGTTCACGACAAACAACCTGTAATCGTTTCTCTGTATCTGATAAACGTTGAGAAAACTCTGAGGTAATACTGGACACATCAGTAGTGTCAATTTCTTGTGTGGTCAGTGTAGTTTTTAATTGCCTATATAATAATAATAATAATAATAATAATAATAATAATAATAATAATAATCTTAAAACACTAGAAGATGCAAACAAAAGTTAGCAGAAAGAAAGACACTAATAAGTAAAACTTCGATGCTGTAGAAGGATGTACCATAACCTTGAAATTAACATATCATGATAAAGATGCCCCAACATATACAAAGCCAATTATCGATGTAACTATAACATTTAAAAGATACGACGAAACAATACAAAACTTCGTATAAAAATGCATTATCAAGACTGTTTCAATAAATAGAAACAAAGCGTTGAGGAGAACGGGAATTCAAAAGTGCATACCACTAGATTATCACTCATTGTTCTAAAATGTTGTGATCTCTTCAATATCTGGATGTCTTCGTCCCTATTCTCTATAAAGTTTGAGGCTCACTCGATTAAAATGTCCAAAACCAGAAAAAAACACGTTGCTGGTGTTTGTTGCTTTCTAATGTTCTTCAACTTTTATTTCAAAATGAAAATATTTTCGCACTATACCAAATCTCTCAAAATCCGGACAGCTTCGATCAGCCCGATGAAGCCTTCAGAGGTCCTCTGAGTTAATAGCTCATCTCCTAACCCACCCAGTTTAGTCCTGATCTGGAGCTAATTGGAACTGAATTAATTATCCTGATATAAATGATGTAATCATCTGATCTTAAGAAGCTAAAAGTAAGCTCTGCTGCCATCGAAGTAACACTTTTATTTCCTTCATAAAAGTATACATACTGATCTTTATGTGGACAGATTGTCTCGTAATACCAACCTCCACATGACCAGCATGGAAATGATTGATGGTAAAAAATACTATAATCTCGAAAAAACCACCTAATAAAAGTAGACCATTTATAAAAAATTAGTTTTGTAGAAACAATTACATGTTTAGAGATTTTCGAAAAAATTACACTGGATAACGAGGAAATATATATTTCTATTACATACTCTTGCAATATTGAGACTGAATTCTGTAGTACGTTGTTCTCATGGCTAAGTTGCATAATTTTTGCTTCACGAACATTTAATAAATGTTTGACATCAGAGAATTTCTGAAACAACAAAAATAAACAGCATTGAAAAATATTAAACAATAAATTGTATGGAATATCTCTATGTGAATCGTTTAAATTCGAGATATGAGTGAACTGATAAAAGTTTTCAAAGATACCTAGCTAGATTAGTCAAGTCGAATAAAACTACTGACGAATCGATTAAAGTTACGATTATAAACTATTCGATGTATACTCTGTGGTCTAGAGGTTAATCGCTCGCAGAGAGACACGAAAGCTTTGGGATCGATCACCGGTAGGGATCATGGATGCGCACTGCTAAGGAGTCCTATAGTTGAACAGAACAGCTATCTAGTGCTTCTCGGTTTTTAGTGGCTGACGAACAAAGGTTAGTCCATAGTGTAAACTATGAAGTAGTTATAAGTATGTATCCATGAGTAATTCACCTCCTAACAGAAACAACCACTGAGTAAAACAGAATTTGGAATTAAATTATCTACCACTGAGGAAATAAACTCTAAAACACATGTTAAAAGTTGCTAGAAATCACATTATGCTGCTAAAATTGTTATTGTATTTACTTGGTGTGATATCCAAATTTATGGTAGTATCTTCTTTTTATGAATCTAAAAACACTATCAGCCAATCGTCTAACCCGCTCTTTACGTCATAGTATTGGAATTTATTCCATTCCATAAATTCTGTGTAACGTCAAATTAGTAAAGCAGTAAATTGCGAGTTAAATGAATCCTGATGTTGGCATACAACTTTATGATTAATATTGGGAAAAGAAAGCTCAGAAAGTCCAGGACTTCGAAAAGCAGCAATCTATTGTAAAGATTTTAACTACTAAGTTCTTATAGAATAGTTCAAGTTAAACTAGGCATAAATGACGATCAACTAGGATTGAGCTTTCTGATGTCAAAATTAATATTGCGTTTGTGCCTAAAATGTTATAAAAGATAGGTTTGACAGGTTTACCACATTTCCTCAATACAATCAAGATAATAACAAAAATTAGGTCTTTTGAGTTGCTCATTACCACTCCAGTAAAGTTGATCACATACTTCTAGAACCTCGAAAATTGTCATCATAAATCTGTACATCAAGAAAAATTTCCAGATTTATGCTGGACTCTCCTAACAATCCTTTACTCTGTGAGAATGTATTACTACTAGAAATCCTGGTTATTCTTAGGAATTTTTTTACCGATCCCACATTCAGTACAGTTAGCAATCACTATAATTTCTACAACATCTGACATTGACTACGTTTGCTTTTAGCTGCACTCCGACACCATAAACAATTAAGAAATAGATATTTCACCCAAAATAGCTGCTACCCTAATATTTTGAGTGTTGGATATTTAAAACATAGTACCGTTACTAAATTATTGATCATGAAGACCATATAATATCATTTTACGTGCTTAAAAAATTAAGCATGAAAACTAGGAACCGTTTTTGTTAGAAGGTAGGTATATTCTCTAGAGGATTTCAAATCCATATTAAACTAAAATCAGTATCCATATGTTTAAAGAATAGTAAATCTTTAAAGAACTTTGGAATAATACTAATCTCACTAACCTTAGCGAGGTCATGATAGGCAAATGTCAAATCATCGTCAACAGTATTTTGCAAACCTTTACAAATAAAACAAAAACAAACTTATTTTTGTCGCCGAACATGTAGTTTAAATTTATGAACTCGGAATTATCGGCACAAAGCTTTACCATTTCAATTTCATTTTAATCAATATGTCTTTCAGTACAACCGTTACTTAAATAGGAAACAGGTAACTGTTCAAGTTTTTTAGAAACCAATTGAATAAGTTTTTATTATTTCTATCCTGAACTTTTTATCATAGAAAATAATGTTAATACTTTTTGATAAAGGTAATATCAAAGAACAGTTGGTCATGAGTTCGACAGGGAGTTGTTCAGTATGTAGACACCCTAGACATACAGTTTAATGATCTAAACCTTGATTGCAATGAGAATTCCCATGTTCTATTCCGATTTTTAAATAGACAAATAGCAAATTGGTATGTCAAAAATCTAGTTTGGTTAGACCAACCAGTCAGTCATAAGCTATGTAAAACCTGACATGTGCATCAATTGAAGTTGCCACACCAAATTAGCACAGCGAGATAAAATTATCAAGGCAAATCCCAAAATAACAGCAATAACACTGCCAGTAGCAGTAGGGAAACTATGTATGCTACTTATGTCGATAGACATAAGCAGATAGCTAAGAAGATCGAATTGAAGAAAGCTGAAAGGAATTGAGAAGTGGAAGAATCATGAAGAATGTAAAGGACAATTGATGGAAGACTTGTAAATGAAGTATTTGACCTATTTCTTTTCAATTAGGTTTTCATCATGGCTCCACACTGATATATATATATATATATATATATATATATATATATATGAGCAAAGCTTTGAAGACACTTATGATCTAATAATAGTAGCCTACAAATAACACTGCCGGCTTGGAAGAGTAACCAGTGCCTAAGTGACAGCTCCTTGGAGCCTTTTCTTGGGTAGCCTTAGATAATATCACCTCAATCACTTTAGAACCTTGATGATGGACGACCATCAGTACATCAAGGTACCAGCCAATACTGGCGGAAAATACATATGAAGCAAAACAATTGATCTATAAATATGTTTTAGATGAATTGGGGACTTCAAAAATATTTTTTAGACTGAAGTGGTCTTTCGAAATGAAACTAACTTTTCTTCAACAGCGTTAAATAGATTTTAATCAATAATAAAATGAAACAAGATATTCATTACCATTGAGCTTACCCATACACAAATCTTGCGAAACACTAACAGATCTACGATGTTCAGGACCATTAGAACTAAGAAAGTGGAGTAAGGAGAAGTTAAAAAAACAATAAAACTAAAATATGAAGGTCTATGATGACATAGTATTTGGTGGAAAAAAATAGACATGTTGAAAGACGAAACTTTCCCCAAAGTCAAACTTCTTCCAAATATAACGCTGCATACAAATTGACAGCTTGTTATGCATAAACGTTTTCACATCTCCTTGAAATTGTATCTGTTTATCACAGAAATTAGAAATTGAAAATGTAATCTGATGAAACAAAAAAATGCACGAGATACAATAATGCAGAACTTTTGATAAGTGTTGGTTTATGTTTCCAAATTTGTAATATCAATTATAATTTATGATACCCTAACACTTAGCATAATGATTTGTATAAAAACAAACTCAAAATCGTAGTGCTTGCTTAAAAGAAATAATTGAAGCATTTAAAAAAGCAAAAAATAATCTAAAGTACTATATCAGGCTTACCATTTGTTTAAAACAACCGGAGCACTAAATCCTCTAAGAGAATACTTTTGCGAAACAAGTGAATTTCGATTGAATCCCGATGACAAACGTGGCTCTTTAACAGGAGACATAATAGTAGGTGTATTAGAAGAATGTAGCTCGTGGACTTCACCACCATATGTAGAATTACAACACGAAATTACTTCAATATCCGAACTAGTGGTATTAGTATCAAAATCGTCATCGGCACATACTGGTTGAGCAGTGAATGGTAGTACTATATCAGATGAAGAACGATGCAAAGAGGTTATATCTTCATTTGGAATTGATTTATTCACTAACTGCAATTCCTTTTCTACGAATGACAAGTGAGAATTTACATCAACAGCTGATTCTTGTGCAATGTATTCCGAAGAAATTGTTACTTTTGGTGCATCACACTTTTTTTCACATAAATCCTGTGATGCTTTTTGTTCAATGACATTAGAACAATCATTAACTAATGTAGAATCTATTTCCAACTATAATATAGAAATATTAAATCCTAATTAGTTTGACAAATGGGTATTTAACTCTGAAAGTAAGTATGAATGTGTTGTTTAGATCAATAAAAGTACCAAGGCTATATTGCACTGCAACAGGTAATTTTCTAAAGTTCTAATATAAATCCTCAATCGACTAAAACAGTGCCGTCAAAAGATCACTCATCGTATCTTCACCGGATAATCCGAGCACGGTCTAGCAAACCTAAATTGTATGGGTACCGATAATAGAGCTAAGGCGAATAAGCAAACATAACACAACACTGGAAAAATACCACTTCAAGGGTCATATCTTAGCTGATCTAAATGAAAGAATGGATCCCACAAGTACACCATTATCTTCAGGTGTTCTGTAGACAATTATCCCTCAGAGAACTATCCAATAATTTATCTCTTACTGAATTCATGTCAACTGATTTGGTTTCTCAAGTCGCTCTGATTTATTCAAGATAAATGAATAACGTAATACTGTGTGAAAAAAAAGTTCAGAAAATATAATAAAAAGCAACCCAGTTATTGGTAACGCACAACAGATATTTCGCGTGACAGCAAGCAACGTGTACGTGATGAATTATCTGCTTTTAGATAATAAAATATTCTTTTAAATCGTACAGTGAATTGCAGACCAACACTGAAGCAACAAAATAATATGAACTGCAAAAGTAGGTATGATCAAATGGTTACTTTACTTCCACCTTTTAGTATTGGATTGATAATTCATACCGACTGTACTTCATAAAAAACTGCTCTGTTACAACCTGTGATAATATAGTTATTGCAAATTTACCTCAGATTCATAAATAAGCTAGTTTCATGTAAAATAGAGCAAAATTAAACATTTCATCATCTATAAGTGACACCTTAAAAACAAACAGGAATGTTCTACGTGTACGAAACATAAATCTTTATTCTACGTCGTTCATGATCGGCGAGACTATATTTTATGGGCGAACCAATCACATTTACGATGACAGTTTTTGAATTTCGGCGCGAAATTAATTCATTCATTTGTCTAAATAGCATTTTGGCATTATAGCTGATTTCAGTTCGTGATGAAAACCCTAAATCTAATTCCTAACTCTAACTATCAACTGTAAATATTAATCCTAATTCCTGACACTGGTTTATAACCCTCGTATAACCGTAGTATGTAATTGAACATTTTCAAGGTCTCCTCAGCATCGCTCAAAGGTCGTCCATAAAGCATAGTCTCACCTACAATTTTATTACCAACCTCAAAACAGCCAGCAATTGTTTGCATTTTCGTGTAGTAGCATAAGATAACTGCAAGGTACTTAATCAAAGAGTAATTAAATCACAATTTTTCCTAGCCATCTACATCAAAAATCAAATTTGCCCACAGAGTGCATTCGACTTATCACAAAATTAAGACTGTATCGTGTTAACGACGTAAACTTATTTGACATAACTACATACTAACCGAGAAAGAAGGTAAGAAACTCATATACAGTTTCCTTGACAAGCATTGCTTCACGATCGAACCGACATCACTAAAATTAAAGTTAACTGACAAAGTAAAATATCATCTAGCCAATGTGAATCGATTTGGACCACTATGAAATAATGCAACTGATCGTTCGGATGCCCTAATTTATAACAGATAGATGAAAGTGTCCGAGTTATATCCAGACGAACAATAAGCGGATGGTAACTGCTACGATCTATTTATGTCAGTCAGTAACAACGTGGAACTTCGTACGTACGTACATCAGTTCGAGTTGCCATACCACATTAGCACAGAGATTCAGTTATCGTGTTAAATCCCATAGTGGCGGAGTAGTGAAAGTACAAGTAGTGACAGGTAACGTTAGGGTTTGATGATGTTATTTAAGGAGTATAGTCCAGTGGAATATATTTGGAAAGAAAATAAAGGACATGGAGAATTCAGAAGATTAGAGTTTGAGCGAACACAAAGAGTGGATGCACCTGTGCCATTTCAAACGATTTTTAGCCATGTCATACAAGGTCTCTAACCATCGGTCGCTATCATCTCGCAGTCCCCAACCAAGTAGTCTACACCTACCTACATGGTTCAGTTCACTTGTCAGTGACTTCATGGATTTGTACAATGTTTTGGTCTGTCCGCCTCTAGCTTTCTTCCAACCTACTCCTACACCACAAAACATCGCACGTCGGTGGTCGGGCATGCGCAACACATGTCCCAGCCATCTCAACTGATTAAGTTTCACTACTTCCTCAATTGATTTGCCATCCTTACCTAGTACCCGTTTCATAACAACTGAGTTACTTACTCGGTGGTCCCAGGATATACGAGTAGTGCTTCGAAGACACCTATGGTCAAATACTAGTAACCTACGAATATCCTCTACTCTTACTGGCCATGTTTCACTGCCATAAAGTAGGACGGAACGAACTGCTGCGCAGTAAACACGTCCTTTGGTTGATAGACGGATATCTCGCCTACGCCACAAATGACGCAAGTTGGCAAAAGCTAGTCGAGCCTTTTGTATCCGTGCTGAGATTTCGTCACACACCAAACCACAAGGGCTGATGAGACTTCCGAGATAAGTGAAGCGGTCGACACGCTCAACTACTTCACTCCCTATCAGATCTATTTATGAACTGTTATTATATATATATTCTTATTGCATAACTATTCAGTAACTATATGATATGTATATTCACATTCCTTTTATTATAAGCTTCCGTTTGACTTATTAACTATTATTATATGACTTACTATTCTTAAGATATTCCCAATTTATTGGTTACATCCTCTTACAATCACAGTCACTTTTGGCCTAATATTGTATATAATTTTATTTTCTGTTTTTGTGGTTTGATGAGGTCTGGCTTGTTTGTATATAAACTGCGTATGTCTGAAATATATTATTCGTATAATGGTGGCTGGTATTGGTGATCAAAACTAAACCGGCTGGGTTAGGAGAGGAGCTATTGACTCAGTGGACCAATAAGAACTTAGACTTGAATCTGGGCTGTTCGTACTAGTTCATGCATCATTTGTTTAGTCATATAAGTCGCTGTTTTTAATTGGCGACTAAGTCACACGATACATCAACGGGCCATAATGACATAACAGTCAGCTTAATCTGAGTATACTGAGTTGACTTGGAACTCATATTAAATTACCTAACCAGTCAGTCAGTAACAACGCAGAACTGCGTGCGTGCGTACATCAGTTCGAGTTGTCATACCACATTAGCACAGAGATGCAGTTGTTGATTCAAATCCCATAGTGGCAGAGGTAGTAAAAGTATAGGTAGTAATCGGAAAGATTAGGGTTTGAAGATGTTATTTAAGGAGTATAATCCAGTGGAATATATTTGGAAAGAAAATAAAGGACATGGAGAATTCAGAAGATTAGAGTTTGAGCGAACACAAAGAGTGGATGCACCTGCGCCATTGCAAACGATTTTTAGCCATGTCATACAAGGTCTCTAACCATCGGTCGCTATCATCTCGCAGTCCCCAACCAAGTAGTCTACACCTACCTACATGGTTCAGTTCACTTGTCAGTGACTTCATGGATTTGTACAATGTTTTGGTCTGTCCGCCTCTAGCTTTCTTCCAACCTACTCCTACACCACAAAACATCGCACGTCGGTGGTCGGGCATGCGCAACACATGTCCCAGCCATCTCAACTGATTAAGTTTCACTACTTCCTCAATTGATTTGCCATCCTTACCTAGTACCCGTTTCATAACAACTGAGTTACTTACTCGGTGGTCCCAGGATATACGAGTAGTGCTTCGAAGACACCTATGATCGAATACTATTAACCTAACGAACTGCTGCGCAGTACAGCCGTCCTTTGGTTGGTAGACGGATATCTCGCCTACGCCATAAATGACGCAAGTTGGCGAAATCTAGTCGAGCCTTCTGTATCCGTGCTGAGATTTCATCACACACCAGACCACAAGGGCTGGTGAGACTCCCAAGATACGTGAAGCGGTCGACACGCTCAACTACTTCACTCCCTATCATTAGTTCGGGTGTCGATGCAGCCCAATCCTGAAGTAACATTTTGCATTTTGAGGGAGAGAATCGCATGCCGAACATGCCTGCATTGTTGCATAGAGTGGTCAGCAGACTGCATTTTGTCAGCGTCTTCACCAAATAGAACTATGTCATCGGCATATTCTAGGTCAACAATTGAATCTCCCGGTAGAAGTCCAATCCCTAGAAATTTAGATGAGGAAAGTGTTATCTCTAAAAGCACGTCAATGACAAAGTTAAACAAGAATGGATAGGTAATCAATTCTGATGACAGTTCGCCATAAGCCCTCACTCGACCAGTTGTGTTTGAGTAGAGAGCTTTTATAAGGTTAATGTACTTCTCTGGTACTCCTTTTAGTGACAAAAACTGTAATAGAACCTCACGATCAACAGTCAAATGCCACCTTAAGGTCAACTCACCTAACATAAAACAGTAAGCAGCTGTAGCATTTCAAATAGGCCTAATCTAACACACTTTACATGTTTTGCTTTATTATAAATTTTCATCATTGTTGCCTATGGGAGTAACAAGATGGCACGGGTTAACACTACACAAACATCGAGCAGACACACTGTAATGCCCAAAAAAGATGGAACTGACGAGGTTTATCGACCACTTGTAAAACACAATATCCTTTCCTTGTTAACCAATGGATCAAATTTACCTGATCTCAAAATTCTAGGTTGCTATACACACATGAAAAAAAATGTTCAAAACCTTGAATAGATAAAATTATCACCAATAACGTGTTCGGAACTAGAAATAATGGGATTATTCGATTATTTTATGGACTGTAAAATGGGATACTATTCGATCTAAAGAAAACGTGTGTACGATTTTTTAACACTACCCTGACAAAACGAAGAACTACATGCGTGAAAAAACATTCGGCAACATTTTTTACAGAATAAGCGGAAATCAAAACGAATGAAAGTAATTCTGTCTAATAAAAGCAAATAACAAGTATGCACAAAGCAATAAAGCTGTCACATGTAAAACTTAGCAGGCGTTTTAAATTTAAGTGAAATTAGTCACAAAGCCTTGTTACTAAAAGGTGCGTCATGCATAGATTGTAGAAGTGCAAGAATATCGTGATACGCTCTTAGAAAATTGCGCATCAAAATGCCACCCCATAAATATGAATGTGTCGCTGTTTGCATTTCATCCAACAAATAAACTAACATGATCTTAACAAAAAAGACAGCTATTTTTAAGTGTTCAAAACAGTGAGTGGAAATGCTAAAATAAGATCTGTTTGTATATATCTTTCTTAGTAGAAGAAAACATAAGATGTGAAGACCTACCACCTCGTCAGTTTTAGTGTTCTCATCAGTTAGCACCTTATCAGAATCACTGGATGCGAAATTGTCTGACTGATCGTAAATAACTTTTCCCAGAGAATCCATAAGAGGTGAGTGATGACTTTCCAAGCTTGTTGAACAAGATCTCTCCAAATCTTCACAATCGCTGCTTACTTCACACTCGGATTTCTCTGAAATTAGGTAGTAACCAGTGATGTTAATTAATGAATCTAGGAATGAAAAAAGCTTTCAGCCTCACTTTACTAATATTAGTTGAGATTGAAAATACGAAGTAAGTATATGAATGCAATACAAATAAACTAAAAGACGTTACCTGTAATTATATTAATCTTCAATGTTAACGACTTTTCTCACAATTCATTTCCTATGCCATCGAACTATAATTTTATACCGCTAAAAGGTTATATCTTAATTTATTTTTGACGATGGAACACTGAATTTAGATAAAATAAACAGTGGGCGTGCTAGTATTATTGCAAACAAATAACTTATTCGAGAGATGAGAAATACTATACCAAGGTTAGTGTCACCACCACAACGATTACCTAGTTACAAAATGCTTTGATATGAGCGCTTATGTGAACTACTCGTACCAGAAAAAAGACTGAAACAATGTATGAAGCCTTATAAAAATGTAATTGTCTAGGGCTCTATGCTTCCTTTGAGTAAAACAATGATGCACCAAGAAAAAGATTTAAGAAATTAAAACGATACATGTGGTAAATAGAAGAAAGAAAAATGCAAAAAAAAACGGACGGCAACACTGAATGAAAGATATAGAACAATGTGATGTTGAAGACGTACAGAGAGATCATGATAGTGAATACAAATTGCTTAATGTAACCAATTTGAAGTGTATCATCAAGTCTCTTAATAACGATTACAGTCATTTTATCAATCCCTACTAAAAAGCTTGCTTTCTGAAATTACTAAACCAAAGGTCAATCATATGTAATAACAATCTATCGATCTGATCCTATCTAAATGTTTTTCACTTTACGCAAGCAGCTACAACGTCTGGAAAACAGATTCATATCAGCAGTCTTGATATAATTGAACGTTAGAAAACCAACATTTAATTTATATTAACTGATCACAAGTTCTGTATTTTCTGATCATTCTTGACTGAATTATATCTAGTTTCTTTCCATTAACGCACTTTGTTTTGTGTCGAATTTTTGTTGTTTACTTGGTCAGGATTTGTCTTACGGTCAGTTATTACTAATTCGCACCAAATATTTTGTATCTTTAACCGATCAATATTATGTGGCTGATTGTGTTTACAAAGATCAAAATCACGATCAATCACACATAAAAACCGAGACAGAATCCAAATAACACTAGTTTCAAATATATCACTCGATGATGGTGTACAGCCACATCAGTCGCTTTGCCACCATCGCTCGGTATTCTTCTGACAACATTTACACCCACTGAAGTTGTTCGACTAGAGAGAAATAGTTTTCGCAAACAACTACGTGGAAACATGACTCAACATTTATCTGTGCCGCGTCGGATGTTGATTATCACTGACTGAAATATCTATGATAAAATACATGGAACACGCACGCCTATATTTTCAAAGACGAAGTTTTAAAAAAACATAAAGTAATGAAGGCACAGCTGTGTTATATTTTTTCAGCAAAAGGATAATTGGGGGAGCTATGCAATAAGCGAAATAACTTTTTAAAACAAGAAAAACTTCGAAACCCGAGGCTTGGCCAATTACAATCCACTAAGGGTGATCAACAGTGGCGTGTCTGAATATCTGGGCTACTTGTTTCTGTCATCAGGATATTTCAGTAAGTTATTAGTTTCCTTTTTTGTTTTAACACATCATTATGCTTATTAGTCTCAAACCTATTCAGGTACGTTTGTGGACATTTTACGACATTCCACTGTACAAGTTACAAAGGAAACCCAATCAGAGACATTATGGTTGCTGGTAGTATGTATCGAAAAGAATATACATTATTCAGATGTCAATTCCGGAACTGCAAACAACTGGCAACGTTCAATACTTATCGCAAGGATCGATCAAGAAATAAGAAAAGGAAACTTGTTGACATACTTTGTGCCGAGAATGCCATATTGTGCCAAAAATATAACATTGAATAAAGCCACCAGTAATAATAATAATAATAAAACGAAGGAGAAAAAACTACTATAATGATATAAATGATCAATCAGCTTACTTAGCTTACGTATCATGACTAAACAACAATCATATAGACTAATCCCAAAGCAAAAATTTGTATTTCAAGTCAGAAATGAATCTTGAAAACCTTTTACATATAACTGGAAATATTAGAGTTGCATTGTGTCGATTTTTCACTTGGTGAAATATGTTGCCTAAGTTTACGGGAGAATCTCAGGTAGACGACAAGCTCGTGAGACATTAAAGGGATTGCTACTTGTGAGTAAATAAAGAAAACAGGAAACCACGATGAACATTGCTCAAAATAGCTACGTCGGGAGATAAAGTCTATCAGTAAATTAAAGGAAATGAATTGCACGGGAAGTTAGCAAGTTCTACTGAGTTTAGGGATGTCCTAGACAAGGGTTAAAACCTATCTGCTTTCGAGATTTATAGTCGTACTCACATTGAATCCAAAGATTTTGAGAACTATCTTAGTTCAATTCTTAAACTGATGATCTATAGAAGACTTTAAGATTAATTAAAAACTAAAACGATTACCAATCGAAAACTGTCGAAAGAAATTGTCCAAATCCCATACTTTAACCAACCCCAGTTGGTTTACCTGAGAAACCCGAACAATTACTTTCAAACGTCACTAGATTTATCGTATCGGAACAAATCATCCCATACAAACTGATTAAATTTTAATCTTAGGACCTAGATCCTAAATCTTGGTATCAGTATTTTATCCAAGTTATCAGTGGGTAACAAGCAATAGAAATTTTGTCAGATGCTATTTATTCTTTTTTGGTACTTTGTTTGTTGCTTTTATCTGCCCGAAGTATAGGCCACTGACTAACCTACCTATCCAAAATATTTGTTGAAGTAGTCATTACATACTCCTTAATAATGTTAAAACTGTTTGATCTAGACATTTTATTGAGACGGAAGACCATTACCACTAGCCTTTACAATAAGGTTCAAAACTGACGTGGTTAGTCCGGACCTCGTAAGTGAATTACACAGTACGCATCTTGATCTGATCAACCATGACTAAAAACGGATCACTGATAAGCTACTTTTAACTTTCACAGGGTTTGAGTAATTAACCAGATGCAGGGCAATCATAACGCGATGTACATTTGTCAAAGTAAAGATTTTTACATATTAGCAAGACCATAACAACAAATATATAATTTTAGAACAATCCATAAACTAAGACTACGTGATGTCTATATTGTGGTTATTGAACGGGCCTGTATATTTTTGAAGGTTGCTACCTAAATTCAAGCCAGTATTCCAAATAACAATCCAAGTTAGCATTAAAACCGAGGATTTTATATAAGCTCCACTTAATAACATAACGTTTCGTGGAACCCTAACTTACATACTCTGAACAACATGATGGCGTTAAGACCGACAGGGTCGCTCAGCATTTCAGCTTAAGGATTTCATACTTAAAGTAAAAAGTCCAGAGAAATATATTCCTTTGAATCACAGCACAATCGTAATCAAATAACATCAAGAAATACGCCCGTGAACAACCCTACACAAAATAGAGATCCGCAAACAATCAAGTACAAATAGTGGAAAATGTACGGCGCATTTTCGTCATATTTCATCAGTGTTCATCTCTAACTTGCTCCGTACAAATGGTATGAACAATAAGGACATAAAATAAAAACAACAGGTCAGACCTTACAAGGACTAAGCATGGCAACATAAAAAAAATAACCCACTCAGTTTCGGTTCACAACTACTTGATTCATTTGGTTCAACAGATACTAATGTTTCTGTTGAGTCAACTTGTCTAATTGAATATTCCAATGTCGTAGGCAGTACGTTTTGATTAGCAGCTTCATCCGTAATATCGAGGACTTCATCTATTTTTTGCTGAGCACTTTTTAAGGCTGTGATTGCAAATTTTGATATGTTGCCTGCTTTCTCTAATGAATTCCACCAATTCATCTCATAGCTAACTTCGTCAATAACCTTGAGGTAGAGAACAAATTCGAGAGATTCTTCTGCCAATATTCAATCTAATAGTAATGTACGCGTGATAATTTGCTCATAATCGCATGCTAACATTTCCATTTTTCTCCACTTCTCTGTGATATTCATGTTCTTTGTTTACGCAAGTATTTCACTTCCATATTTTACACTCACAACTCACGCGACACTGTAGTCTGTCAGAAATAGTAGGAGATTTTTGCTGCTTGTAATGATTGTTAACAATGAACTTCTTTGGCGTTAGTTTCGAAGACAAGCATTTTAAAACAAGTGTGCTAATTTCTTCGGAGAGACTTTGTGGCATACCATATCGTGGAGATAGGTCTGTCAAACTTATTTTGTAAATAGTTTTTAATATTATTTGTATTTATTTTGTACGTACATTTATTGTTGTTTTAGCAAATGACCTTGAACACTTTCCGTTGTGATACTAACATAGCGTGACACACTCGTGGCTGTTCGCAAATACACTACTACGCACACACTCCTTGTTCTGTTCTCACTCGTTGTCGAGCCAATAACATTCTAAACCGAATATTATCACCATTTCAGACTGTTCTATCATTACTATTACATCCTACGTCAAGGCAACTACTGGAGTCATATTTACCTCATCAGAGTTGTTACTCATTTATAATTGTGGATTTCGGTACCCAAACTCAACGGAATACGCGACAACTAACTGGTTTAAGTAACGTCCATGAACTTCTATTTTGTGTTACTAATTTATAAGTTGTTATTGTTACATGAACTTTTTGAGTTAATAACTTTACTGCTAATTTTTGGTTCATATACTTTTGGGTCCACCACAATATCAATCCCACATGGATTAGTCTATCTAACGGAAAATCAATTCAGTTTTTTCTACTTCAGTCACGTTTTGACCTTCTTAAGTATTCTCTTGTTAACAATATATGTCTTTGTATGAGCGCATGTGTGTACACTGGTTATTCCACCCATCATATGTCTATAGTTTAGTGTTGTCTGACTATAAATACTGAGTTACACTGGACACAACATAACTAAAGGTGCTCAGTCATGCATCTGCACAGTGTATTAGTGGGTGTGCCGTGCCACTCATCTTTTACGATTATCCGTATGGGTTCTGATCTACTTAGTGTTGCTGTGGTGAAGTTACTTAATGCACTACTTAAAAAGAGACAAATAGAAAAGAGACGCGAGTCACATAGAAAGCCTAAGATGTTCAAATTCGAGAAGAGCTTAATTTTTCTGAATTAGAATGTAAGACTGTTACAGGAAAACTGAAAATATTTGTTCGATTAAAAACTGCTGTACTAGATAATAATAATTTCGCTGTTTTGAATGTATTTGTTTTGCCCAACTTTTAAACTTGTTCGTTTATATCTTTGACCTCGGACATTATGGTTTCACTCTGATCGATTTCGTATTTTGGAAGTTTTGCACTGGCAAACCAAAAATTAAACAACCACATGTTTAAGCTGAATACATATAATTTACAAATAAACTATCTTACCTGAAATAGAATTTGGTTCTCTTGTTATATGAAGTCATAGTTTACCAGTGGATCAATCGACCATGCTTCAATAACGCGTAGAATAATTTAAGGAGATGTTGCACAATATTATAAATAATGTTGGTCTGCCGTGAATGAATGTTGTATATTTTGATGTACAGCCTGATCAATATAACTGCTTTATGGTCAGTTTACTGACATTATCGGAAATAAGTCGTTCGATAAAAGTTATATACCATACCTGCTGTACTATTTGATAGGAAAAACCAGGATGGCGATCTGGCTTATGTTTACACAGTCATTTTGATTATGACAGAGCAAGACAAATTTTTTGTGATCTTTCTTAAAGGAAGCATCTTGTTGCCTGTGAAATAATTACGGAATTACTCAAACATAAGTATAACGGAAAGAGAACGATGAAAATCCCCCCGCGACCTTTTTGTTGGACAGTACTGTCACTTATTTGTTTCTTCTCCCTGTCGTGTATTTTAACCTTTGCTCAGATCTCGTTGAACCACACCTTTTGTTCTTCAGTCATCCTCGTCTGGGCTTTTATTACGTGATTTTGATTAAAGACTTATCTTTTGTTACCTGATTTTCTATTGCATGTTGCCGGACTATTGACAGTAAGGTCGTGTTTGACTGAGCTCAAGGTCACGGAGTGATCCAGTGTGTGACTGTTAACCTTTCGACTGTCTTCTTGAGAGGATTTCTGAAATCCTTGAAGATAGATATTTGATCTCATCTTGTTGGGAATATTTTTATTGATTCTCAGATATTGAACTCTTTAATATTAACTGCTTCTTTTATTGTTTAGCGCGCTACTTTGCGTTAGAGAAACTTCTGACTGTAAATCACAGGCTGTGCCGTTTGAGGTATTATGTATTTTTGATATAATTTGTTCTATTTTCTAAATTAGAACCGTTTAAATAGAACACAGAGTTTAAGTTTGATAGAATTTAACACGAGTGTCTCAAAAACGCTTTGTAAGCTATACAGAAGAACGTAGTCTGGCCTGTTCGAATATTTTTAAGTTCGTCAGTCCTGCGTTAAAACCGAATACAGGCAGTTCGATCGTTACAATTAACCTGTTGCATGTTCATCCTATGACTTGACTGACTTTTCGGTTAAGCCACGTAATGTATGTATAACATTGAAACAAATAGGGTACATATCCGATGTGAATTACGCAGCTAATTTGGAAATAATCATGTCATGTCCAACACTGGATATAAGGAATGATGGGGCAGAAGTTGAAGTTTAGGTCATGATGGCCGGGAAGGAACCAAGAGTTAAAGAATTGATTGCCTTCGTAAAAGAAATGGCTCAAGAACATAAGGGGGACCGGCAAAAAGTGACTCCAAGTCTGGTTAAAGAGGCTTTGAAGGCAAAGTTGATAGCAGAGAACGCCTGAATGTAGTTAAGCGTGATATAAGCAACTCACTTAAGTTTGTAAAATATGAGTTTTGCCAAGATGATCTCGAGGTGACAGATTGTACAAAGTTATCGAGTATGAATGTCATAGAAGCGAGACGGGAATTAAGATGTGGCCTGTGTTATCTGTGTTTGAGAAAAGGTCACATAGCTGGGTTATGCAACTGGAGCTTAAATTGTGACGTTGAGAACTGCGAGATTCAACATAATTCGATGCTACATATTGATGGCAATAGCGACCATTTAGTGAATGAAACTAAGGATTGCAACATGTCGAAGGTCTGTTTGGGTACTATTCTGGTCAAGCTGAATTTTCTCAAAATAAGTTGACAAACGTATGCTCTTCTGGATGGTGGTTCTATCACTTTCGTGTGCAAAGAAGTGTGTTGGCACCAAACCCTAATCACACAATCCTCAAAGCTGAACACGAGACAACTGGGAAAATAGATATTCACCGTTTAACACGGAGAAAGATCCAACGATGAAGAAAGTGAAGACAATGAATTGAATTAATCCTAATTGATAGGATGGCGTGGCTCAGCCTCGCAACTGTTGTCGCTCCGTATAACATACTTTTACTCATATCAAACATATTGTTCTATCTCCAGCACGAATGTGTTCTCCCTCATGCATTGATAATTGTTACGGTACGATGAGTCAGTATAGACAATGATGCGACTTCCGCGTAAGATCTTATAGATTAGGCAGTTACATCATGACAAATCTACAATTTTAGGGTTAGGTCTATTATTAGATCAGTACTAATAGCATAGATGACCATAATCCAACGGAAGTAACTAACCAGTCTGGTCTTGAAGGTAAGGAAGCCTCGATAAACGTAACGATTGTGAATGACATTACCGCCTTCAAAGGTCTTGAAATAAGTTCAGAAATATTTTCATTGTATGATTAGGGATCCATACAGACTGATAAAGCTTACGTGGTTAGGAAGTTGCCGATCGATCAAACGGAACACCTAAATGAACAACAAGTGAGGTGGTTGAAGTCATTAAAGGATAACCTTTCCGAGGATCGCGATTAACTTAATAGAAGTCTTCGTCGAAGGAGATGCCCCAGTTGCACAATGGGTTTTGAAAAGACGTCTGGGAGATAGAAAACGCCTGTTTGAGATACATACGCACCTTGCTGAATAATTATGGATCGTAATAAAGCACATCAGTACATTGAATTCAGTGTCACGAAAGGCAGATAATTCACTCTGTTTACTGACCACAAGTCTCTCACCTTCCTTCTATGCTTGTCGTCTGACAAGTATTCACCTCGAGACTTTCAAAGCTAGATTGTATTTGGCAGTTTAATTGAAATGTATAACACATTTCTGGGGCAAACTATGTAGTTGCAGACGTCCTGTCTCATGTAACTTCTTTGAACAGTTCCCAGGGAACTGACCTTTTTAAACTCGCTGAATTTCAGAAAGAAAACACTCATCATCGGCACGAGACATCTTTGACAACCCTGAAACTACGTATCAAACAGGTGGGGACCGGTAAGGTAATTTTACTAAGTGATACATCTGCAGGTAGGAATTGTTCGATCGTACCGAAGCATTATCGATACGACATTCTCAATACATTGCATAAACGTTCTCATCTAGATGCTCGAACAACCATCTACCTCATAGCAGAAAGATTTTGCTGACCTGGTATGAAGAGAGTCGTGCACTATATTACTATGCGATGGGAATTAAGTGTAACGTCAATGTTAACAATCTCAAAAGCTCTTACCTATAAGGAATTCTTAATTATGCTAACTTTCCTCTTGAGTCACGGTATGATGCAAGCCCATGGATAACAATGCCATCCCTGATAATCACAGAGCTCGCCGAAACGTCTCTGATATCTGATTAAGGGCCCAGAACAACGCACTGCGGAAAGACGGTAGGGTTGGTGGAATGCTTGGACGACTTCTGAACTCAGGAAATGGTTTAAGTTTAGGTTCTGTTTCAGTCCTTGCATAACACAACTTTCTGATTGTATTCCTATTCTTTACATTACGGTATCTAAAATGAAAAAAGTGTATTTTGTAATATGATTATATGTGTATATCATTTATTACACAAAACAAAACAAAACAAAACATCTTGTGTCGGAATTTTTCATGCTGTTGCATGATACATCTATCCATTTACATCAGGTATTTATGCACATATCTTGACTCCTAACGCACGTACAAGTGCATTTCAACGTGAACTTACATTTTTATTTGGTTTTTTCCAGGACTACAGGAAAAGATAAAGAAGGATGAATAATACGACAGGCATAATTTTTCTTTGTATGCTTTTTCCTATTGCACCACATAGCTCCTTAATTTAACGAAAG